AAATTGAGCTGGTTACCCCCCTTTCTATCAGGCATTGACAAAGACCTCATCAACAATTACCACTGGCACTTTTGCAGCTATTCTCTTAAGAATCTGCACAAAGGTGACCATAAAAATTGAGAATGTAGATTGAATTGCTATCCTGAACAGTGGAGCACAAGTGATTATTAGTGTGTTCCAAATTTCTATGAGAAACATTTGAAGAAAATGCTTATATTGCTACTAGTAGGTTTTGGCCTTGGAAGTATGTGACAAAACTACCTATATTTGGGATATCTTGAAGTGATGTAATTTCCTAAAGTTGTTACTGGTGTAAATAATATAATGGTCATTCTGGCCTGGGTTTGTCTAAACTGTTTATGTGTCAATGAAGTGTCATCACTAATTGGAACCAATCCCATTTTGTTGAGAATGCCAGTCAAAGTCTGGGTGAATTGAAGAAATGAGGGGGCAGCGGAATAGAGATAGCTTCTGTGATAAAAACATGGATGCTAGTTACTTTCCTTCTGTTTTTTATATTGTTCTCTTTGTAAATGAGGGCAAGGATATTAGGATGATGTGACAACAGAAAAAAATTTTGTAGTAAATTTCTGTGACAAAAGTTTGATACATTAAAAAGACTAAAATACATAAGGATAAGAGATATTCTCCGATTGACAAAGTTGAAGAACATGAAGAGTTAGTTCTCAAAAAAAGAATTCCAAAACACCAACAGCCATATGAAAAAATATCCCAAATCTCTCACAGGAATAATGCAAGTTAAAATTTCTAACTCATACCCATAAAATTGGCAACGATGGCAAAAAAAGAAAAAAAAAGATAATTGTTAACAGACTTTAAATTGCCATGGTTGGACAGGAGCACTAGTCACTTTGGGAGGGTATGTGATTTGGTCCTTCCATTTGTTTTTGTTTTGTTTTAAATTTATTTAATGTTTTTCCCTAATTACCTATAAAAATACTTTTTAACATACGCTTCTTAAAACTTTGGGTTCCCAATTCTCTCCTTCCCACCTCTCCCCCCTCATTGAGAAGGCAAGCAATTTGGCAGAGATTATACATGTACAGACATGCAAACATATTTCCATATTAGTCATGTTTTGAAAGAAAACAGACCAAAAAACAAAACCCAAAGAAAAATAAAGTAAAAAACCTGTTCCTACCTGTATTTAGATTTTAATAGTCCTTTCTCTGGAGAAGGATGGTATTTTTTTTTCATCATAAGTCCTTCAGAATTGTCTGGGATCATTGTATTGCTGAGAATAGCTAAGTCATTTGCAGCTAATCATCGTACAGTATTACTGTTACTGTGTACATTGTTCTGGTTCTGCTCATTTCTCTTTGTATTAGTTCACATGAATCTTCCCAGGTTTTTCTGAAATCTGCCTGCTCGTCATTTCTTATAGCACACTAGTATTCCATCACAACCACATACCATAACTTGCTCAGCCATTCCCCAATTGATTGATATCCCCTCAATTTCCAATTCTTTGCCACCACTAAAGGAACTGCTATAAGCATTTTTGTAAATATAGGTCCTTTTCCTTTTTGTTTTCTATCTCTTTCGGATATAGACCTAGTAGTGCTATTGCTGGGTCAAACGTTATGCAGTGTTTTATAGCCCTTTGAACATCGTTCCAAATTGCTCTACAGAATGGTTGAATCAGTTCACAACTCCAGTGTCTCAATTTTCTCACATCCTTTCCAACATTTGTCATTTTCCTTTTCTGTCATATTAGCCAATCTGATAGGTGTGGTGTGAGACTTCTAAGTCGTTATAATTTGCATTTCCTTAATCAATAGGGATTTAGAGAATTTTTTTATATGACTATAAATAGCTTTGATTTCTTTGTCTGAAAACTGCCCTTTCATATCCTTTGACCACTCATCAGTTGGGGAATGGTTTTTATTTTGATAAATTTGACTCAGTTCTCTATATATCTGAGAAATGAAGCCATTATCAAAGAAACTTGCTATAACAATTTTTTGAGTTATGATTGCTGTTTTCCTCCATAATATTCCCCTCATTTATCCTAACTGTCCCTTCTCAAAAGTATTTTGTTTCTGACTATTGACTCTCACAATCCACCCACCCTTCTGTCCACCCCCCTCACTTTCTCTTATCTCCTTCCCCTCTTACTTTCCCATAGGGTATACCAAACTGAATGTGTATGTTGCTCCCTCTTTGAGCCAATTCTGATGAGACTAAGGTGCATGCACTCCTCCCACATCCTAATCTTCCCCCTTTCCCCATAAAAGCTTTTTCACACCTATTTTTTTTGTGAGATAATTTAGCCAATTCTACCTCTCTCTCTTTCCCCTTCTCTCAGTGCATTCCTCTTTCTCATCCTTAATTTTATTCTTTTTTTAGATAATCATCTCATCATATTCAATTCACACCCATGCCCTCTGTCTATGTATACTCCTTCTAATTGCCCTAATAATGAGAAAATTCTTAGGAGTTACAAGTATTATCTTCCCAGGTAGGAATATAAACAGCTTAACCTTATTGAATTCTTTATGATTTCTCTTCCCTGGTTACCTTTTTATGCTTCTCTTGAGTCTTGTATTTGAAAGTCAGATTTCCCATTCAGCTCTTGTTTTCTTGTGAGCAATGCTTGAAAGTCCTCTATTTCATTGAAAATACACTTTTCCCCCATTTCCCACCCCCCTCTATGATTAGGTAATTCTTGATTGTAATACTAGCTCCTTTGTCCTCTGGAATATCATATTCTAAGCCCTCTGATACTTTCATGTGGAAGCAGCTAAATCTTTTGTTATCCTGACTATGGCTTCACAAAATTTAAATTATTTCTTTCTGGCTGCTTGCAATATTTTCTCCTTGACCGGAGAGCTCTGAAATTTGTAATATTCCTCGAAGTTTTCATTTTGGAGTCTTCAAGAGATGGTTGGTGGATTCTTTCAATTATCTATTTTACCCTCTGGTTCTAGAATATCAGGGCAGTTTTCCTTCATAGGTTCTTGAAAGATGATGTCTAGGATATTTTTTTATCATAGTTTTCAGGTAGTCCAGTAACTCTTATCTCTTCTCAATCTATTTTCCAAGTCAGTTGTTTTTCCAAAGAGATATTTCACATTCTTTTCTATTTCTTTTCATTAATTTGATTTTTTTTAATTGCTTCTTGATATTTCATGGAGTCATTAGCTTCCACTTGCCCAAGTCTAATTTTTTAAAGAATGATTTTCTTCAGTGAGCTTTTGTACCTTCTTTTTCATTTGGCCAATTCTACTTTTTAAGGAGCTCTTCTCTTTGGTGAATTTTTGTGTATCTTTTTTCCATTTGGCCAATTGTGCTTTTTAAGGCATTCTTCTCTTCATTAGATTTTGATGCCCCCTTTACCATTTAGCATATTGTTTTTTAAGATGTTATTTTCTGTAGTATTTTTTTGTGCCTCCTTTACCAAGCTGTTGACTCTTGTTAGATTTTCTTGCATCACTATAATTTCTTTTCCCAATTTTTCCTCTACTTCTTATGTGATTTTCAAAATCCTTTTTAAGCTCTTCCAGGAATTTTTTTTTTTTGGCCTGAGATCAATTCACTTAATGCTTTGATGTAGCAGTTATAACTTTGTTGTCTTTTTCCTAGTTTGTTTTGATCTTCCCTGTCACCAAATTAAATTTTGATGGTCAGTTTTTTTTTTTTTTTGTTGTTGTTTCCTCATTTTTATTTCTTTTTTTTTTCTATTTTCTCTTCCTGGGGTTGCACTGTGTCAAGCTTTAGGTTTTTTGTGCAGTTGTTTGCAACTAATTTTGAGGCTCTGTATGTTTTCAGTTCCTCCAAGGTGGTATGATTTAAGGAGAGATGTGTTTACTACTCTCCTGGCCTATGCCCTGGTCTGTGAGCAGCTAAAAACCCTATTTTATGTTCTGGGGGTCCCCATTCCCCTGCAGCTGTAAGCTTTCATGTGCTACTGCTCTTCCATGCCCATGACCCAGCACTGCAACCCCGATCCACATGTGATCAGTGCAACAGAGTCCTGCACTCAGTGCCAGCAAAGGGACCCCTGTAATCTCCTTCTGATCAGTGTCCAATCCCCCTACCATCTGTGGGATGCGAGCTCCAGAAGCCACCAATGCTGACTCAGTTACCCCCAACGCACATTCCTGATTTCCTATGGTGTAGTGTGTACTAGTGCATCCTGAGCCAGAGTGCACTCCACTCTCACCCCAGTGCAACAGACCTTTCCTACAAACCTTCTAAGTTGTCTTGGGCTGGAAAAATGTTTCACTACAATGGGATGGTATCCTCTCTATCATCTGCAAGAACTCATATTTCTAAGAATAAAGAACAGAAAAGGGGGGGGGCAAGGAAAATATCTCCAAGACAATATCAGAATCTCTTTAAAAGAGGAAAGTCAAAATAAATGCTTCAAAATTATTAGTGCCACAAGAAATACATAGAATAAAGTAGGACCAACTCAGTGTGTCATGAATCCAAAAATAAAAGGGTAGTAAAAAGCAAAAGATAAACAAGAGAAATAGGGGGAAATTCTTTTAAGGAAAAGGCACAGAAAATGAAATGAATGAAAAACCAAAATAATTTGAAGGGGAAGAAAGGAGGATTGCTTTAACAACTGGTGAAAATGACAAAAAGAAAAACATCAATATTTGATTTTTTTTACTTTTTGAAATTCACAAATGTGAAATAAAATCAACATTTTATGTACACCATAAAACAGAAAAATAGAATTGTTGTACATGAAACAAGTTCTAATATGCATAGTTTGACTTTCTTTTTGGGTAATAAAAAAATTCAAGATGGCACTTTCAAAACTGTTTTCATTCCTTTTGTTCTATTGCATGTATTATTACAATCCATCAGTTTCCTTCATTAGTATTTTGGGGTTAGGAGGGTAATAGAAGGGAAATCCCATTCCTAGTTCACTTCCCACTGCTATCCTCTCCTACCCCAAACTGAAAAAAATCAACAAAATTTTTATGGTGAAAGCACATAGTCAAGGAAAAGAAATTGCCACACTGTCCATTTCCCAAATACACTTTTTATTGTGTATCTTATATCCATCGCATCTTGGTTAGGAGGCAACTTGCACAGATCCTGATAATCTTCTGCTATAGCAGTCAATCATTACAATAAGAGGTGGAACACTTGGTCAAACTGTTGGCCTTCATAATGTTATTGTTATCAATTACTCCTTGTAGTCAGCATCAGTCAATACTACTCTTTCTGATTTTCGCTGAAATTGCCTGTTTTATAGCATATTATTTCTCCGTAACATTCACATACCAAAATGTGTTCACCTGTTGCCTTTATTGTGGGACATGACATCTTACTTTCCAGTTCTTTGACATAACAAAAGGAGCTGGTATCAATATTTTTGTATACTTGGTTCCTTTTCCTTTAAGGAAATATACCCTCTAATGGTATCACTGAGTCAAAGAGTATACCCAATATGGTAATTTGTGTGTGTGTGTGTGTGTGTGTGTGTGTGTGTGTGTGTGTGTATGGTGAGGGAGGGGGGGAAATTCACAGCTTTACTAACAGCAAAACAATTACTGTGTCTATTTTCCCATAGCTCTTTCAACTCTTCAAATTTTTTTCTTGTTATCTTTGTCAAATGCATATGGGTGAGGTAGAGCCTGAGAATTCATTTAATTTGCACGTATCTAATTATTGATTTGGAACATTCTTGTTTAAGTTGGGTTTTTTGTGTTTGTTTATTTAGTTATATTTGTTTTCTCCCCCATGGATCTGCCCTCTCTTGGGTGAAAAAAGAATACAAAACTCTTGTGACATATACATAGTCAAGTAAAACAAATTCCCTATTATCTATCATTCTCATTTTTATCACCTTTACCAATACGAAAATCTAATTATTTGTGATTTGCATTAGAAATTATGGATAGGATTTTTTTTTTCACAAAAAGTGATCTGCAATTCTCCCTTTCAAAATTGCCTGCACACAGCTTTTGACCATATGTCTACTGCATCCTTCCTTTATATTCCTGTATATGACCAGTATCTGTTCTTTACATACCTTACACAAGAGACCTTTGTGAGGGAAACCTGCTATAAATCTCTTTCCCAGTTGATTGCTTCCTTTTAAATTTTAGGTGTTTTTAATGTGATGAAGATTGCCCATTTTATTTTCTGTGTTCCTCTCTATTCCATGGAGATGAACTCTTCCACTATCCATAACAGTATCTCTTCATGGTTCCTCTAATTTGTTTGAAATGGTGTTTTATATCTAAGTCATGTATTCATTGGGACCTAATCTTGGTTGATAGTGTTAGAGGCTGGTCCATATCTATTTTCTGCCAGACTAATTTCCAGTGTTTCCAGCATTTCGTGATGGTTAGTTAAGTACTAGCCTTATAGTTGAGGTCTCTGGATTGATTAAAGACAAGGTTACGATACTAATTTTCTTTCATATATTACACATCTGATCAGTTTCCGAAGATCCTTATTTTTAAGTAGAATAAAACAGTTTAGATGACTACCAATTTCTGGTATAGTTTCAGATTTGGTCCTGTTACACCTGCTTCCTGGAATACTGAAAGAGGCTATGGGAAAGACATATGAATGCACTTTTGACGAAAACATATATTTACAGTTGCAATGGGACCACAGAAGCCACTGAGTCCAACCTCCTCGTTTTAGAGATAAGTAAAGTGAGGCACAGAGAGGGTGTTCCTTGCCCACAGTTATACAGTTAGAGAGCATCTAAGTCAGGATTTGAACTCATTTTCCCTTTTAAACCCGTGCCCTATCCATTAAAATTAGTGTCTTCCTCTATTTTGTTCTGAATATCAATTTGATTTTAAAGACAAATGACTAAAGTGTTCAAATGTTCCAGTTTCCTGATTTTACTGTGAGCCTTATGATCCAAGGAATGATCACCATGAAAAAAAATTAGAATTTCCATAGTGATTTAATACTTGCAAGGTATTTTACAAATAGTCTCATTTAATTCTGATTTCAAAACTGGGAGGTAGGTGCTCTTATTGGCCCCATTCTACAGATGGAAAAACTTAGGCAGGAACAGGTTACATGACTTGCCCAAGGACATCCATCCAGCTAGTTAGTGCCAGAGACTGAAACTGAATTTAGGTCTTGTGGCTCCAAGCACATTTCATCCATTGAGCCACCTAGCTACTTAAAGAAAGCACTACAGAAAGAGATGTCCAACAGTTACCAAAATATCTACATGAGGACTTTCTGTGGCCAGGAAACAAAGTAAGTTCCAATTGAAAGGGAATGGCTGAAGAAATTATAGCATTTAAATGCCACAAATTTTGAGGAATAATGAAAAATTCATTATTTACTGTTTTAGGTGAAGTGTGAAATTTGTGATATTAAATGAGGTCTCTTTTGCTGAGAGGTCTAATGAAATCTGTGCTACAGCTAGAGACCTTCCCTTGTTAAAAAGATCCCTAAGTTTTATCTCCAGAAGAAAGGATTTATCCCATGGACAGTCAAGTACAAGCTCTAGTTAAAGCCCTTTCCACATTTATTGCTTTTATATGCCTTCATTCCAGTATGAATCTTGTTGCCTATTGATAACCCTCCTCCAGAGGAAAACACAACCCCCTTGTGCACACTCCACTGATTCTTCTCATAAAGTAAGAGATGACCTCTGGCTGAAAGCCTTCCACACTGAGTCCTTATGGAGCTGCTCATGAGAATGAATTTTCTAATACTGAACAAGTTCTGAACTCCATTTGAATACCTTTCCTCATTCATAAGTGGTAATATTCCTATATGATATGAATTTACTGCTGAGAAGTAAGAGGTGAAGGCTTAAGCACACTGATTATTTTCCTAAGATTTCTCTCCACTGTGAATTCTCCTAAGCTAAATAAGCTAAGATTGGTAACTAAAAGCTCTGTCATGTACATGACACTCATTAGGTTTCCCTCTAATATGGATTCTTTGATGTGCAGGAAGCCTGTCGCTCTTTGTGAAAGCCTTTCCATATTGATTGCATTCATAAGGTTTCTCTCCAGTGTGGATTCTCTCCAGTTTGGCAAAGTTGGCCCTATATGTGAAAGCCTTTTCACAATGATTGCATTCAAAAGATTTCTCTCCAGTGTGGATCCTTTAACGTCTAGCAAGATGAATGCTGTATATGAAAGCCTTTCCACAATTGATTACATTCAGAAAGTTTCTCTGCAGTGTGGATTCTCTGATTACAGCAAGATTGCCATTCACTGTAAAAATCCTTTCAACATTGACAGCAGTCTGAGAGAAATGATTATTAATAACCAATGATTTGGGGAGATCCAAAGTTCCCCCTTTTTCTAAAGTCCTCATTTCAAAGCTCAGTCTCTGAAGGCTGAACTTTCTCCTCAATCATGGTAAGACTCCCAACCTTACAAGGAATTTAATCTAAGGGGGGAAAGCCCATGGTGCTAGACACAGGTTTGGGTGGGAATCAATTCTCTGATCAGGTTGCCCAAGGCCGGGCAACTTAGAAGTAAATGATATAATCAAAGTTACATTCCTCTGGCCCCTCATTATAATATCCATTCTCTTTCATCACTTGTTAACCAATCAGAGTTGGTTGCCATAGTCGGGGAACACCCATTCTTCCAAGGGCATAAACTGTGAGCCCATGACCATGAAGGGTCTTTGGTATTTGAGAGTGTCACTGACCTTTTTATTAAAAAAAAATGCTAGCATTATTGATAAAATGATTAATTACCCAGAAACTACATCTGTTGAATTTTTAAATTGTCATTCATAAGGTTTCTCTCCATTGTGGATTTTCTCCAGTTTAGCAAAGTTGGCCCTATGTGTGAAAGCCTTTCCACACTGATCACATTCAAAAGATTTCTCTGCAGTGTGGATTCTTTGATGTCTAGCAAGACTAGAATTATACTTGAAAGCCTTTCCACATTGATTACATTTAAAAGGTTTCTCTGCAGTGTGGATTCTCTGATGTGCAGCAAGATTGCCCTTCACTGAGAAAGCCTTTCCACAATAATTACATTCATAAGGTTTCTCTCCAGTGTGGATTCTCTGATGTGTGACAAAATTGGTCCTCTGTGTAAAAGCCTTTCCACACTGATTACATTCAAAAGGTTTCTCTCCAGTGTGGATTCGCTGATGTATAGCAAGATAGAAGCTCTTTGTGAAAGCCTTTCCACATTGTTCACATTTCATAAGCTTTCTCTCCGGTGTGGATTCTCTGATGGGCAGCAAGCTGGGAGTTCTTTTGGAAAGTCTTTCCACACTGATTACATTCATAAGGTTTCTCCCCGGCGTGGATATTATGATGTACAGAAAGATGGAAGTTTCGTGTGAAAGCCCTTCCACGTTGATTACATTCATAAAGTTTCTCCACACTGTGGATTTTCTCATGATCAGTAAGACTGGAGCTGTATCTGAAATCCTTTCCACACTGATTACATTCAAAATGTTTCCTTCCAGTATGGATTCTTTGGTGTCTCGCAAGACTGGAGCTCTTTGTGAAAACCTTTCCACACTGATCACATTCATAAAGTTTCTCTCCAGTGTGGATTCTCTGATGCTTACCAAGATTGGAGCTGTATCTGAAAGTCTTTCCACATTGATTACATTCAAAAGGTTTCTCTCCAGTGTGGATTCTTTGATGTCTAGCAAGACTAGGGCTGTATTTGAAAGCCTTTCCACATTGATTACATTCAAAAGGTTTCTCTCCAGTGTGGATTTTCTGATGTGCAGCAAGATTGCCCCTCACTGTGAAAGCCTTTCCACATTGATTACATTCATAAGGTTTTTCTCCAGAGTGGATTCTCTGATGTGTGGCAAAATTGGCCCTCTGTGTAAAAGCCTTTCCACACTGATTACATTCAAAAGGTTTCTCTCCAGTGTGGATTCTCTGATGGGCAGCAAGACTGGAGCTTTTTCTGAAAGCCTTTTGACATTGATTACATTCATAAGGTTTCTCTCCAGTGTGAATTCTCTGATGGGCAGCAAGATGGGAGTTTGTTCGGAAAGTCTTTCCACATTTATTACATGCAAAAGGTTTCTCTCCAGTGTGGATTCTCTGATGTACAGTAAGATTAGAGCTCTGTTTGAAAGTCTTTCCACACTGATTACATTTGAAAGGTTTCTCTCCAGTATGGATTCTCTGATGGGCAGCAAGATGGCACTTCTTTCGGAAAGTCTTTCCACATGGATTACATTCATAAGGTTTCTCTCCAGTGTGGATTCTCTGATGTCTAGCAAAAATGGACCTTTCCGTGAAAGTCTTTCCACAGTGATTACATTCAAAAGGTTTCTCTCCGGTGTGGATTCTCTGATGGACAATAAAGAGTGACTTGTAGCAGAAACCTTTCCCACATTCATTACATTTATAAAACTTTTCTCCAGTATGAGTCTTCTGATGTTTAATAAGATCTGAGTTCCAATCAAAGGCCCTCCCACACTGATTACATGCATATGTTTTCATGCTAGTATGAAATCTAGGAAGGTAAGGAAGAGATGAGTGATGGGATAAAGTTGTTTCACATTCATTGTCTTCATCAAGCTCCTTTATAATATTAAGTTTCTGATGAGTCATAAGGTTAGGGTTCTGCTTGAAGACCTTTCCACCTTTATTACTTACATAAAGCATTTCGCCAGTGTTTTTCTGATGTCTAATTATATCTGAACTCCAGCTAATGACCATTTCTTGATCCATTTGCATTTCAGGAGGCTTCTCCTGGGGCTGAAAAAGCTCTACTTGTTCACGAAAGTATTTGCTATATTCACTATGCTGAAAACAGTCATTCCCTGAGGTCATGTTCTTACAGTGATTTAGGACTGAAGACTGTCGGACTCTCTTTCCGATTTCATCAACCTCACATTGATTCTCTGGATTTTTGTCCACTTTCATATTAGAGTTGTGCATTTTTCTCAAATTGAAGTCATAAGGATCGTCACTGGTGAATCTTTGCTGGCCAGATTCTTCCACAAAAATTCTCAGCTTTGTAATTGTCTCATTCACTTCAAACTTGTTCTCTGCATCTGAAGAAAACAAACAATCACATACAATGAAAGACATACATAAATGTACGTTCTTTCCTCTACTGGCAGAAAGTAAACTGATTTATATTCTATTTCCCCAGTTAAGAAGAAGAATTTTCAAACTTAAAACAGGCAGAATCAATCTCTGGAAACGCCATTTGGTCACAAGCCCAGATGGTTAATTTTAGAAAGAGCTTCACATATAATGATATTGGATCCTCACAACAAACCTGTGACATAGGCAGGCCCAGCATTCTCATTACCCTTGACAATTCAGGCTATGAGCTCATAACGACTGAGTTACCTGGCCACTATCCCCATAGCTGAGACTCAGATTCAAACCCTGCGACTGACTATTTTTTCCACAGTCTTTGATGGCCCTTCTCGGTTGCACTTTCTATCTTTTCTTCAAATGCCTGTTGTTGTTTATACTTATGACTTTGTCATTCTCTGGTCATCTTCCTGCTATTCTGTACTGACCAGTCTGGATGCACTCTCACATGGTCATTCCTGGTAAATTTCATAGGCTAAGCTGAGAAATAGGCTTCTTTTTCTTAACTATTATGTAATAATTTCCAGTGTTACATCCAACTTTTCTTCTTTTCCATTGAGATCCAAAGCTATAACACCATTTGCTGCACATATACTAAATATTAATATAAATTTATTATCATATATAATGTTTTATACCGTATCATGAATCCATGGTCTTTCTGTCAGGAAGTGAACAGCACGATTCACTATTGGTCCTCTAGCACCATGGCCCACCCATGTAGTGATTCATAAACCCTTTTGAGATGCACAATGACATTCAAAGGGTTTTAGGTATGTTTGAAGCATAAGAGATTTCTTTGTGCAGTGATTCCATCAAATCTGACCCTGTGAAGTGCAACATATTGTTGTGGGGTTCTCACCCTGCCCTCAAATTGTATCCACTCAGCCATAAGTCTGACATAGAAGTGCAAGTCGATTCCCAACAGACGATCACATGTATACACATACCCTCAATTGTTTTCTTTACAGGGCGCCAGAGTAGCTGCCTCAGTGCAAGGTTTCCTCATAATCTTATCTAACTGGCACTGAACTAACCACATCCAGAAGTTACACGTTTGCATCCCTCCAGTGCAGAGTCAGGCTCTTTAAAAACATGGTCAACAGGCATACGCATTGCACGCCACCTTGAAGCAACCATGGACCATCACACACACCCTACCAAAACACTCCATCAACTGCCTCTCATCACAGAGTCAAGGCTACCTTCGGATTTGAACTTCTCCTCCATCAGAGAATCCACACCGGAGAGAAACCTTTTGAATGTAATCACTGTGGAAAGACTTTCACGGAAAGGTCCATTGCTGGTTGGCAACCCAACTCAGTCTTTCCACAGAGTTTTTGTGGGAATGTGGCCAGTGTGCCAGTGGTAGAAAGAAGAAAGTTATGTCTGAAGGGTTCTTTCCTTACAAAGGTTTGATATGTAAAGTTGGCTTACTAAACAACAAAGCATATGCAATTGAACTTCAAGTACATTTACCATGTAATACACTACTTGTCATTTGCCAACAGAAAAATCAATATTTTATATAATAACTAACTATTCATTTTGTTGACTGGTCTAAAGGCTAAAAAAAATTAATTTCCATATAAAGGTTAGTTATAATTGTAGTTATTATTATTAAACCAACTTGATACAGAAAGCAAGCTGAAGGCTAGGTTCGTCAGGTATTGAACTAAATACTGCAAACATTTATTCAGAGAAAAAAGTCCAGCTGTGAAATTAATTTCATATGTTATGTTACGTTTGACATTTTTCAAGTTATAACTTATTTGATTAAAAATGCTATTCCTATTCAACAACATTTGTAAGATAAATTTGAAGTAAAGTCTTGCAGTTAAGAGTAAGCATGAGGTCTTACTGGATTTAAAAAAATCTGTTACAGAAAGCCTCACAGTAAATTTGAACAATTTAAAGTAGAATAAAATTTTATATTTTATAATTACACGGGGGAATGAAAGTATTAATTTGGCTCTTTCTGGGTTAAAAGTTATCCATGTTATTACAGTAAGCACTTGATGTATAAATTAAAAACATTATGATGTGCAGAATAAATGACTGGGGTGGGGGGAGCTTCACAACAAATGATTTTTGTTCTTGAAACAAGTTTTAAGAATAAAAGATTTTGGAATTTAGTGCTCTGAAGTAATGGTTTTTCATTATGCTGATGAGTGTTGCTACAGTATAAACTCTTCCCCTGGTTCTGCTCACTTCTTTCTACATCAGTTCAGATAACTCCTCCTAGGTTCTCTGTCATTGTGCTTTTCATCACTTCTCGTGGCTCCATAACCTTCCATTGTATTCTTAGACCATCACTTGTTCAGTCAGGTCCCAATAGATGGGCACCATCTTTGTTCCTGGATCTTTGCAATAACAAAAAACAGCACCTATCATTTTGTGTCGCATAAATGGGTCTTTTTGCTGTTTCTATGTGATCTCTTTTGTTTATAGGTCTAGTGAAGGGCTGGGGGTTATCACAACGCTATGTGAATCTTTTTGTCAAGGGTGTTTCTTTTACACAAGATGGTGTAAAATGCATTCTTCTGCTACCCCCTGTTGCAGGTGAAGTTATCCCACGCACATTTTATTATGAGAATTAACTAGGTTTGCTCCATGATATCCTCTAATCTTCCCTCTCTGCCCCACCTCAATTCTTAGAAACAAAAAGCAGGCGGGAGGGGCAAGAACGCACTGGGATCAACACCAGTAATTGATCAATGAAATGGCCTGAGCCCCACTGCTCACCTACCTTGTCTTCCATCCATTCCAGTCCCAGATGACTGGCTGAAACACTACCTTAAAAGTCTCTTGCCCTTTTATCTCCCCTATTTGAAGCTTCTTCTATAGGACAAAGTTATTTTCTACCATGAGGCAGCCAGGTGGCACAATGGACAGAGCACTATGACTGGAGTCAGGAAGACCTGAATTCAAATCCAGACTCACAATTTCTACCTGTGGGACACTGGGCAAGTCACATTACCTCTATTTGTTTCAGTTTCCTTATCTGTAAAAGGAGGATAAAAACAGCCCCTATTTTCATGGTTCTTGTGAAACTCAAATATTTGTAAATTACTTGGCACTTAATAAGCCCTATATAGATGTTAGTTCTTGTTATCATTATTATTGGACTTTGACTATTTCCTCACCAACTCTACTCTCCTTCTTAAACTGCTACTCTCTCTCCTTCTGATCACTTATTTCCCCCTTGAACTTAATGCATTTCCATAGCAAAACACTCTCTTCCCAAGCTAAGAGTGAGGCTCATAATTTGTTGCTTCTTCTCAAAACATCTCCATTTTGGTAACTACATAAGTGAGCTCCTAGATAGCAGGGAATATCTTTTACCTTCCTTTGTATCCCCAGGGTTATATAGTGCCTGGAACATAGTAGGCATTTATATGTTGTATCTGTATTGACTGACTGGGCCCAGGGCTGATACCAGGTCACAAACACTACCCCATTCCATGGATTCAAGGCTCTTTCCTCTTTCTTATCCCTTATCACCTACAAGGAGTTATCTTTGTCTGGTTCTAAACCCAATAGGTCCTGACAAGACCAAAGACTGGAGATCACAAAGGGTTCTAAGGTCCCAGAGGGTCTGGTTCTATGGGATGCCTGGGAGTCTCTCCCTCCCAACTCCCTAACCTTAGAGCGGTCACCTCCATATGTTGCTATTTACTTTCTGAGAACAGAGAGAAAAGACTGGGCCATAGAGATCAGGAAGGGAATCGTGGGTTGATGAATTGTGCAAGCCTCAGCCTTTTATAACTACTTCCAGTAAGGCAGTAATTTCTATTACTATCCATAAGATGCTGCATAGAGACAGAGAAAATCATGAAACTGGGCTGTCTGCATCCACTTCAAAGTTAGGTTATATGATCTTGGCTGGGCCCTCGCTGTGCCGAGGCAGTTCTTTGACATCTCCCTGACTGTCTCCCTTTCCTACTATTAGAAGGAGCATTTCCAGATCTTTTCATTCCTCCCCTATCTCTCATTTAGTTTGCTTCCCCCAACATTCTCAGCTGAACACTTTGCTTCATTATTTTATTTTAAAAATTGGACATTTACCAAAAGTTCTCTTAACTCATCTCACATAAATAAAATGTCTTCTTTTACCTTGGCCCAGTCTCCCATGAAGAGGTGGCCATTATGGTTACCAAGGCAACCCATTACATGCATAAATGATCCCAATCTATCTCATCCCCTAGCCAACATACTCCCTCCTGCACCATCCCAATTTATTCAGAAATGTTCAATCTCTTTTTCTACGGGCTCCTTCCCTACTTTCAAAATAGAACAATGTCTCCTTGATCCTGAAAAAAAGCCTCACATGGTCCCTTCATCTCCATTAGATATTGGCCTGTATCCTTCCTTTCTTTCAGGACAAAATACCTAGAGAAGGGCCATCTACAATTGGTGTTGCACACTCCTTTTGTTTTCCTCTCTTCAAAACTCTCTGCACTCTAAATTTCAACTTCAGTGTTCCATTGAAACTGCTCTCTGAAAAGTTATCAATAATCTCCTAATTCCTAAATCCAGTGGGTTTTTCCTTCTCAATCTTCATCCTTCTTGACTTCTGTGCAGTCTTGAACACAGTCAATTATTCCCTTTTCCTCTCTCCTGATTCCATCCCTACACAGCCCAAAGCTAACCTCACTGTCTTTCCCCAAACCCTCCTGTCTCCTTATGTTCTTCTTGCTATCCAGGGCCCCACCCTCCCAATCATCCAGGCTCATCACCTACGGTGTCACCACTCATCATCTTCCCTCACACTGTCACATGACCCACACTCAACACCATGGAAAGACCTGTTGATTCTTCTTTCTTAACATCTCTCCCACACATCCCCTTGTCTCCCAACATTGCCACTTTCTTGGTTCAGCCCCCAGTCACCTCACACTGGAGGTATTCTAAGAGCCCGCTGGTTGGCCCCAGTCCCAAGTATCTTTCCAGTCCACTCAATCCTCCACCCAGCTGTCAAATTCATCTTCCTAAAGTACACTTCTGATCACGTCACTGCCTACTCCACACACTCCCTTGGCTCCCTAGCCCCAGGGTCAAATACAGAATCCTCTGCTTGGCTCTTAAAGCCCTCCATCATCTGCCTCTCTCCTGCCTCCCCAGTCTTCTTTCACCTCACTCCCCCTCCACACAAGTGATAATCAATGGTACAGGCCTCTTCTTTGTTCCCTGACCAGGACACTCTCCCTCCCAACTCCACATTTTCTCTGGCTGCTCCTCATGCTCACTCTGGCTTCCCTAAAACCCCTCATTCCACAATAAGTCCTCTCCACCCTCCTCAGCCTTGGTGCCTTCCCTCTCTTCATTAGCTCCAACTTATCCTGGATGTACGAGATCTGTATACGGTTGTTCGCATGTTCTCTTGCCACTAGACTTGGAAGTCCTCAGGAGCGGGGCTTGTCCCTTCCCTTTCTTTGTATCCCCGATAGTCAGAACAGGATCTGACACATAGTACGTGCTTACGACTTATTCACTTGAATAAAGCCTAGGACAGAGTTCATATTGGACAGCCTCAGCCCCTCTTACATGCTTTCTGGAGAGTCTCATGCCCCAAATGACTTCTCAGAGGATCACAGACTTATCACTGGAAGGGAACTGAAAGGCCAAGGAGTCCCAGCCCCTCTGCCACATTATAGAAGAGGAAACTGGGGCTCAGAGGTTCAGTTACTTGGCCAGGATCCCACTGCTGAAATGTGTCCAAAAACAAATTCCAAGTCAGGTCTGCCTGCCCCCAAGTCCTTAGCATTTCCTTCCCTACAACACACTGATGCTTCTTGTGATAACAGCCCTCACACACCTGCTTCCTCTCACTCACCTGGCCAGGAGTTCCTTGGGCCTTTTTGCTCCAGCATCCCAGGTGCTTCTCCTTGATGAAAAGGGGGGATCAGATCTTCTCTAAGAACTGGAAGCCCTGGGAATACAGAATAAGGAAGGGAGTGAGGATAGACAGAAATATACCACTGAGTCCTCTTTACAGAAAGGGGACATGCAAGCAAGGACCACAAGATGGTTCCCAGCACACCTCCAGGATGCTGGGATCTTTGGAGGGGCCAGAGATCATGCAGCTCCTTTGATATCAGAAAGTTCCACCTTTATTCACCTCTTGGGCACATTCCATAGCTTCCATTCATTACCTAGAAATTAGCGGCAGCTCTTACTGCTGTGGTAAGAGGTCTGAACCTGGAGTCCAATCAGTCCAAACCAGCCTCAAACACATGGTAGCTGTGGGCCCCTGGAAGGTGATGTAACCTCTGTTTGCCTCAGTTCCATCCACTAAGAAATGGGATCATAATAATAGTACCAAACCCACAGGGATGTTGTGAGGATCAAATGATGCTAATTCTAAAGCACTTTGCCCACTCTGGGACACAGAAGAGGCGTGCGGTGATGCTTAGCCCCTCCTCTTCCTTTCCCACCACTTGGGCTGGAATTTGAGGGAACGACTAAGGAAGAACAAGGAGACACCTGCTACACCCGGCAGGATTAGGAGCAAGGAGCTCGAGACTGATGCCTGCTAACAAGAAGACCTTTCTGAAGTCTACACCCATCCCAAGGAGGAAGGGGTTGCCTTGGAAGGCAGAGGGTTCCCTTCACTGCCCACCTTCAAGGAAAAGCTGCATGAGCAGTTTTCCGAGATTTTGCAGACAAAATTCATGTCCAGTAAAGGACAGACCAGATATAACCTCTAAGATTAGCTCCACGTTGAGATTCTGTAACACTGGTTTCAGTTTTGACTACATAAAATAGAGAAGAGACAATTTCAGGAGCAACATAAGAAAGTCCCAGCTTCCAATAATGTAATTCAAAGACCTTTCATAGGAAAACCAGCAGCAGGAAGACCCTGTGAAGAGATCAGCACTTCTGCCTTTTGAATAATTAATAAAGGTCATGCCCTGCACAATAGGTAAAAAATGAAGACATTCCTTTGATGGCAGATTCAGTTACCAGAGGAAATGGTCCTTACCCAGGGAAAGCAGGTTCTGGGAGGTTTCCAGCATGACCTCCTTGTACAGCTCTTTCTGAGAATGGTCCAAGAGGCCCCACTCCTCCAGGGTGAAGTCCACAACCACATCCTTGAATGTCACCAACTCCTAAACCATCAAAAGTCACTTGATTTAGAGCTGAGAGACTCCAGAATTCCTCTAGCCCAACTAAGAGTTAAGAAGCCCAGAGAAGAGATTTGCCTAAGTGTCACAGACAACACTGGAAACCAGTCATTAAGAGCCCAGTGGAATGTTGAGAAAAGCATTTTATATTTAAAGTGAGAATATGTTGGAATAATAAAAGCTGGAGAAATGTCTTACTATGAAATGCTTCTCCCTATGGAATCAGGGAGAAGGTATGTGCTCTATCAATGAGGTATGAGAGTCTGTGGAGGAGAGAGAGAGGTGATGTGAAATTCCTCCTCATCAGAAGTGCCATAAGTGATATATTAAGAAAATTCTAAGAAGAGTTTGTGAGAAGCTGGCGAATACTGTGTATTCTGGGGAAAAAACATTACCAATTATCAATGAAGAGAGAGCAAAGGAAAAGGAATTATCTACTTAACTTCTTAAATGGCTGAAATAAAGTCTTATCTAGATGAAAGCAGGAAGAGGATTCTTGAGAGATATTACTCACAATCATTATCTATAGTTATAGTGAGGGCTCAGGATGACACTGAGTATGATGAGCCAAAACATCTTATGTCTTTGCTTTATGATTTATTTCACTTATTAAGGGAACATATTCATTCATTTTTAATATTTAGATACATAGGAATAAGAGTAACTATGATAAGGTAAGAAGAGTTTGTTCATTTATTAAAAATGTAATATCTCATTAACTGGAGTTGGAGACTGAGCTAATTTATAAGACACTGACAGCATATTTATGAAAAATAAATTATCTAAACATACTCCTAAAACTGTAGAACACTGGGGATCACAAGTCAAGAGAACGAGTTAAAAGGCAGACTTTTAAATAACACATAGGAGAGAGGTCACATCTATGAATATTTTGAAACACGGGAGGGGTTATCTACTTTTCCAGTTTGCTACACACATCTATGGTCAATGTGCTTGCTATCAGGTGCTCTTCCATTTCTAGGAGAATGATATGATTCACTTTTTCAAAAGTTTTATTATTTTGGAGCAATTCTCTTTCATGTAGATAAAAATCTTTTACTTTTCATCATTTTGATTTCTTATTTAAAACATCTGATTTCTGTTCCATTTGTAATCTATATTTCATTTTAAAGTTTATTTCTATTATTGAACTTCTGAACAATGATTTATTAGTCTTTTCACACTTTGAGATCGCCAAGAATTTACAAAACATTTCTATGCATTGGGCTCTCTCCTGATGTCACAATTCTTCATTGCACTGTATTTACTCATTGTGTGAGCAATCACTGTAGGAAGACTGTCCTTTGATTGATGGATAATTAATCTCTAATTGAATCTCTAACTTGCTCCCCACAGAAGCTATTCTAACCCTCTTTCCTTCTCCATTCTCCCACACCCATCCTTCACCAATACAGGGTGAGGTCACAAACCCCAAGTCTTCATTTAAGGACAGATCTCTCACTGGCTCCACAACCTTGGGACTTCTCCATCAATCTTCTTCTCCATGGGCCAAGAAGTGTCTCACTGGGATCATCTTGTGACATGTCATTAGCCTTAGTACTAAATCTCATCACTATCCTCCGTATCTATGATTAGAGTGTGGGGCTGAGAAGTGCAAACCTCCATTTGAGGAGAGGGCCCAGCTCACAGATCTCCCCATCTCTCACCTGGCTGCATGACTTTGGGCCTTCTGACAAGCTTCACCACGACCCAGTACCTGGTGTCTTCTGCTCCCTCCCCTTATCAACTTCCTTTTGTGTGTTACCTTTCCCCATGAAAGTATAAGCTCCTTCAGGGCAGGAACCCCATCTTTCTTTTTTTGTATTGAATCCCTAGACCCCAGCACAGTGTCTGGCACAAAGTAGGAGCTTAATAAATGCCTACTGACCACCAACTACCCAAACACTCTTATCTGAGTATCTTGCTTCTAATTTTACTTTAAAAGCCCACCATGACCTAGACAGCACTTGGTTTTTCAGTTTTCTTACACCTTACTTCCTGCCACCTTCTCTGATCCAATGCCACTGCCCTCCTCCTTATGCCAGGAAGCAGACACTCCATCTCTAGGCTCTGGGCATTTTCTCTGGCTCTTCAGAATGGCTGCAATTCTCTGCCTCCTCACTGAGGCCTTCTGGGGTCCTTCAAATCTCAAGGGAAATCCCACCTGCTATAGGTAGTCTTTCCCAGATCCCCTTTATTCTAGAGCCTTCATTCTATTCACTATATCCCATTGTCTGTTGTATATAACTGTGTGCTTGCTGTCTCCCCATTAGACTGTGAGCTCCCTGAGGGCAGACACTGCTGTTGGCCATTTTTTGTATGACCTCTACTAAGCATAGTGCCCAGGACATTGTAGGTACTTAATAAATGTTTGTTGAATAACTGCTTGCATTTTCTCCTTCACAGAACCTCATTATGTAATCTTACATTGGCTTCTTTCCTCCATTTTCTAAGAAAGTGGGTTTTTCTTTCTTTCTTCCTTTCTTTTAAGGCAATTGGGGTTAAGTGACTTGCCCAGGCTCACACAGATAGTAAGAGCCAAGTGTTTGGTCTGAGGCCGGATTTGAACTCAGGTCCTCCTGACTTCTGGGCCGGTGCTCTATCCACTGTACCACCTAGCTGCCCCATGGGAGCCCTTGTCTTTACAAAGGCTGACCATCTGTAAGGGCATTTGATGTCCCCATCCCTTGCTGTCTTCTCCAAAAGTCTGCACCCTCAATCATCCCTACCTCTGCTCCCCTTTTCTCAAATTTTCGACCTTTCTCTATCAGCTGGTCCCTTTCCTACTGATGTCAAACACACCCATCTCCCCCATTCTTAGGGAAACCTTCCCTAAACACTCACCACCCCTCCAGCTATCATCTTATCTCACCTCCTTTTCTTAGCCAAATTCCTTGACAAATCTGTCTGAACTCTCTGCTTTCCTCTCGCACTCACTCCTGAAGCCTTCACAAACTGGCTTTCCTCCTCACTCTCCTGAAAGTGCTCTCTCTATTTTAGGGGTACCTGTAGTCTCCTCTATTAGAATGTAAGCAGGGGTTATTCCATTATCTGCAGCTTTTTCCCTCACCACTGACTCCAATGCCTGGCACAAAGCAGACCCATCAGAAACACTGGATGACAAACTGGGCCATTTTACCAGATTTTCTCCTCATTTTTCATTCTTAATTATTCTCCAAAGTTGACCTTGGGCTCGGGGCCTAGATCTGGATGCGGCCATTCTCTCTCACATCCCTGCCATCTGCCCCTTTCCCATTTTGTCTCTACTTGTGGGCTATCGGTACCCCTTCTCTCCCCTTCCTCCATGCACTGCCGCCCATTCCCTCTTGTCCAGACCAGGGATTAGCGGCTTTCCTGATGCCCTCACACCAAGGCAGGAAGGGGGTCTGCTGGGATGCCTACAGCACACACACATAAGGCGGGTTCCTCTAAAGTAGGAGGGAGCCAAGCTGTGGTGTGACAGTAAAGGCTGAACACCCAGCTTTCTGAGAAGAAACAACTGTAAGCACAACACACATCTAAGGTTTGTGTTCATCATGGTCACCACCTTCTTGTGTCTGGAAAACCAACAAACCCCTCAAGCCTTGACTTGCAGCACCGGCCGATTCTCGAGACCCAGAATAGTGGGGGGCACAGAGGAGCCACTCTCTAATGCTTACTGACTTGATCTAAGAATTGGTAAATGAGAGGGACTCAGAGAGACCTGGGAAGGTGTGTGTGAGCTGAGGCAGAGTCAGTGAGCAGAACCAGGAGGACAATCTCTGCTCTGCAGGCAACAGGCAAGGACAAGAGCTGGGGGAGCCTTCAGGCCTCTGCTCCAGGCCTGTGCAGACAAGACTCAGGAGGGAAGGGGTGTTCCTTGACCTATAGTGGCTACAGGGGAGAGCCTGGCCACAAGAAACAGAGGAGGGGGGCTAGGCAGGCAAGAAGAGAGCAAAGCCAGGAGGCCTAGGGATAGGGACTAGTGAGTGAAGTGGTCACCCTTGTCAGTCACTCCTAATGAGGGGGACCTAAAAAACAGAGAGGGTAGCAATTGGGGGTGGGGTGGGGTGAGCAATTAGTTCTCAGGATAAAAAAGTGCCACTGGTACACTTCAAAACAGAGAAGAAGAGAGCAGGGCAGTGTGGTTACTACTGAATTCAGTTTTATTTCTACTTTTGTAAAGAAACAATCCATAGGTAAGAGTAACAGCCAGCCTCAAAGACAATTTTTTGTGTCTATGGAATTGGCCACATGGGCTGATGCTGGTCAAGTTTGAGGACAGAGTGCACTCACCTGGGCTGGAGGTCTGCAGCTTCCGGGGGCCATTCCCTCTGGCTCCAGGCTCCCTGCTTGGTCAGGCTTTGATCCTCTACAGACTGAGCTGGGAAGGAACAAGGATCCCAGAGGGGCAGACGTCTTTTCCTTCTCTCCTGGGCAGAAGGCTGGCCCACAAGGATTTACAGAGGGTGAGGTGTCCGAGAAGTTACAGAGGCCCTGCTCCTGCCCACAGAGGAGAGACTGCAACCAACAGAGGAGGCCACCTGTGCCAGATTAGGAAAACTAGGTCTGCAAACAGAGACTATTTGCCACTCCCTGTGACTCCTTCTCTTTGACCTCATTCCCCTCCCCTTTGTTCTACAGAGACCCAAGAGGCAGAAGGGGCTTGGGAACCCAAATGGGAGGAGACCAGTCTGAGCCTCAATGACTCCAGACCCAGAGCTCTGCCTCCCTCTGATCCTATGGGTGAGATATGAAGGTGGAGCAGCTGTTCAATAGTAAAGGTGGGGATGGCACCCCAGGACCTTCCAGATGCGATGGGGAGCCTGGACAAGTAGCATCAGCATGGAATCCCCCTGGGAGCCAGGCCTCGGAGGGAAGCCTGCTCCTAGCATACTTAGAGGACACTTACCCAGAGTTCTGACAGATAAGACAAGGTCAATGGAAAGGGCAGCCAGCAGAAGCTGGGGACACGGAGGGGTTCTCCCTGGGATCTGCACACACAGAGCTTATTTCCAGAAGCTGAAGAGATCTTGGGTCCAAGGACGGCAGACAGATCTATGCTCCAAGGGAAGAAAGCACAGTGATCTCAGCTCAAAAGGAAAAAGGGAGAGAGATCTCGGCTCAAAAGGAAAGAAGGTGTAGGGCTCTTAGCTTTGAGGGTGCTAGTTTTAAGCCAGCCATCTAGGGTACTAGATCCTCCTAGTACCAAGAGTCAAGCCAAGCCCTGTCCTGCCCCATCTGAAGCCTCAAGATCAAGGCTTTCCTCCAATGGAACCCAAGGCTAGGACTTCAGACACTGCCTACCCCTCTCCCCTAATTATCTCTGCCCTCCATTGTCTGGAATGCTTCCAAATTCCACCTGGGCTACCCCCCCCCCAAAGCTGGTCACCCCTGAGAACTCCCCCTCCCCCACTCCTCTACCACCTCCCTCCCTCCTTTCCTTTCCCTCCTTATTCCCCTCCTTGTTTTCAGGATCCAGGGACCCTGGCCTCCCTGCTCTTCCTCACATGTGACTCTCTGTGGCCTGACTCCACATTTTCACTGGCTCCTCTGCCTCCTACCCTGTGCCTTCAATTTTATCCCCCCTTGTCTCTGCCTCCTGGTTTCGTTCAAGTCTTGTCTAAAAATCCCATCTTCTGCAACAAGCTTCTCTGCTTGATTTCCTGCAGTTTACCATCTTTATACACACACATATACATATGTACGTACAAACATACACATATACACATACACACGTATAAATGTAGAAACAAACATCTATTGAGTGCCACTAACTCTGTCATGTAGGTCTTAATGCCACCATTTTACAGTACAGAAAACTGAGATCAACTCTAGAAAGTGTCTGAGGCCAGATCTGAACTCAGGTGTTCCTGACTCCAGGCCCAGAACTCTATCCACTGTACTCCTAGCTTCTGATTATGTGTGTGTGTGTGTGTGTGTTGTGTATATATATATATATATATATAGTTATATAGTTATATAGTTATATATATATATATAGTTATATATATATATAGTTATATAGTTATATAGTTATATATATATATATATAGTTATATATATATAGTTATATATAGTTATTTGCAAATTGTCTCCTTTTTTTTTCCATTCTTGGCATCCCAAGTTGTGTGGTTCATACCAGTTCTTAATAAAAGTTTGTTGACTTCTTTAAGTGACTAAATCCATTAGAATGTGAGCTCCTTGAGGGCACAGGCTGTTTCAACTTGCTATGAACCTCTCAGCACTTAGAACACTGCCTGGCACAAATCAGTGCTGACCAAATGCTCGTTCAATTACCATGAATGAATCTTCAAATCAGGAGGATCTGAGCCATTCTCTTATTTTCTGCATTCTGAGATCTCACAGTATCAACTGTAGTCAAGAAAGGGGTCCCATTTCAAATCAAGGCTGGGGTCTGTTGAGACTGAGTTGGCTCAAAGGTATAACGCATAATATTCTAGGTAGAACTGCATAATTTTCATAAACCACCTCATTACTTTCTTTCAGCAACTTCCTGCCTGGGCTGATAAGATTTTATAACCTTGCCCAAAAAGGTTCCAAGGCACTAGGCAAGTCACCCCCAAACTTCCCAGATAAGGAGGATTTACAAGGTCTTTTGTACTTTTCCCAAACAGAAAGTTATTATTATTCTTTTTAAAGAAAAACATACCTAATTAGGTACAAAACAGTTTTTAAATATTGTAACCACGTTCTCTACCAGCTTAATTCATCATTTCATATCATCTAGCTCAAAAGAGGAGTTAATATCCCAAGGATACAATCGTATTAGTCTCTAGGAATTTTTTCCCCAAATTAACCATATTTCTTACACAATGATTTCCAAAATATTACAAAAGAAAAATTAGAAGCATAATAATATACACATTTAAAGCAAAAAAGATTTGAAACAAAACGTATTGCCAAGCGAATAACATCAATTCAGCTGACTGCATTTCTGAATTACCTTACACTCCATTTCTCAATTTGACATTCTAGATTACACTCAGAAAACAGTGCAGAGTAAATCTGATCCAAAGATGTTTTTATCTTTGTGATTTCTAAACATATTGCTTTAATGCCAAAATTTAAGTGTATTTTGAATTAAGATATAATCTACCTATAGAGGCTCAAATATCATAATTATCTTTGTTTGTTTGTTTTTGTTTTTTGGCAAGGCAATCCAGGGTTAAGTGACTTGCCCAGGGTCACACACCTAGTAATTATCAAGTGTCTGAGGATGGATTTGAATTCAGGCCCTCTCAACTCCAGGGCCAACGCTCTATCCACTTCGCCACCTAGCTGCCCCGCAATTATCTTAAGATAAGAACACATGTGACTTTAAGTAAGTCCACTTTATAATTTAATTTAGGACAAACTCAGTACCATCAAAACTAGATTTACATTTTCAAATAGTATCACACAGAATCTCAATTTTCCCAAGAGCCATTTTTGCCAGGACCTCAAATTATAAGGCCCACTCTTTGGGTCAGTCTACTGCCAAATTTTATCAAAGCAGTCTTTTTGCTCAGATGGAAGAGTCTACAACTCAGAGCAGGATGAAGGTGGGAGAGTGGAAGGTGATGGACAGATGAGGGAAGAGGACTACTAAGGGATGACCAGTCCGATGGGTTGATGGCTCCTGTGAAACTTGGGCCCTGGGGTAGAAGGTGGAAAACTAGAAGGCCAAGGCAAAAGAGGAATCATTTCCATGGCCATGGAATTGCAGCTGATGAAGGTCAGGGTTAGGGAAAAGAGGAAAGCAGGGACCTAAAGTCCTGGCCTTGAGTGGGACTGGAAGAAAGGGATGATTCTGGGACCTCTTGGACCCCCTCACAGAGGGCTTGGCCCAATGAAGACCCTGTTGCCTCTTCTGCTTCCCACATGGCCCACCTTTCTAGGCAAGCTGCTATTGACACATCCTGGCAGACCCCTGGCTGGAAGCAACAGCCCTTTTAGTTGGGATCACTGTCTCCTAGAAATGCTGTGCTTGCAGGTCTCAGGTAGGTCTGAACGAGGAAGTCAGAGAGGTTAGATGGCTTCCCTGTACTCTGACTAGCCTTCTAAGAACAAGAAGTGGTCCTTGAGGCCACCTTCATGGCATGCTTCTGGCTTCACTTAGCTCTCTATCTCCCATCCAGAGGCACTGATTGAGATTTCTCCTCTCCAGCCCAAATACAATCCCCTGACTGCTGCTTTCTGCTCATCATTAGGCCACGACCTTTCCTCTTTTAACTCCGGGAAGCGCAATCACGTTTGCACTCACGTCCCCAACACCTATTGCTGAGGCGTTCACACAGCAAGTGGGTAAGGGTTGTCACAGTGAATTTTTGAGAGAACATAATTTCTAATAATTTCCATTTGATGACTCCATTTGATGCTATATAGAAGGAAGTTGCTCAGTTTAGAAAGTGTGAAGAGTATGTGCCATACAACTCTAAGGGGGTATGAAAATTTTGGAGTAGATACTGTGGAATGTGAGATAGGGGAATTATTTGCCTTTTTTCAGGGACAACCCAGTATAGGTTGTGTAACTTAAATTTATAGATGACCCAGTCATTACACTTCTGTGACATTCTCCAGTACCATTCTGCTACATGTAACTAGGAGTCTAGACAGTAAATGGTGAGAGTAACCCCAGGTTGGGCACTGGCAAGGCATGATGGGTGATAGACAACTGAACAAGGGACTAGAGTGAAGATGATAATATAAACTTTAAATGATTGGCCAAGCGGTCAAGAGATGGAAAGATGGCCAAGGAATGTAGAGAAAAGTGTAGGGTTTGATGACCATATTGAGGACAGAGAACATGGTTAGGGTTACAAGACAGGGTAAAAGAAGTGATAAGATTATAATTAGAAAAAGAAATGTAGGAATCTGAAGAGGCACACTTATGGGTGGCAGCAAGATCACAAGTATGAACATTTTTCTGAGTAGCTTTGGTGAAGAGAAGGAGAAGGTCATGGGAAATGAGTAGAATGAAGACACTGAAAGTTAGCATACCAGAGTGAGCATTTCTGTGTATGTTCAGATGGACAGAAAGACTGCAGGCCAGACACTGAAATAATTGAGAAAGAATACCGAGATTAGCTGATGACAGCTACCAGAAACGGGATTGGGTGAAAAATGTGGACTGAGTGAAATTCCCAGGAGAGGCTACTGGGTAATGGTGGTGGCAGGAGAATCTGGAAACGGGCGACCAGCTGGTGTTGGGGAAATGTGATGACGTTTCTTTTGTGCCCAAGATCAGAGCTAGTGACAAGGCATCCCAGGCTGCCTCCTGACTATGCTAATGGCGGCTGCTTCTGCCACTGGTGGCTTCTGACCTGAGCATCCACTCTGGAGAAGGGCCCAGCCCAGCCGTCCCTCATTCCCCACAGGCCACCAGGCCCTTACAAGGGCTCTTCCTTGTCTTCCCCTTTTCACCTGTCCTTCCAGGTGTTCTACCCCCACCTCAGAATGCATGATCCTCAAGGACAGAGACTTTATTTCCTTTTGCTGACACATACATCCCTAGCACAGTGAGTGACACACGGTAAGCACTTAATAAATGCTCACTGACTGAGGTCAAAGTCACTCCCTTTGGCCCTCCCCATGTCGCATTGGTTCATTTGGAAAGTGGCAGCAATGTTAAAAGTCACAGTATTTCTCCACAAGGAGAAGCCTTTCCCCCTGGGTCATGAGGAAGGGGAGTCCTAATGACATCATCCTAAGCACTCCCTCCTGCTCCCAGGCTGCAGTGGGGATTCGGGGGAACTTCTCTCTATCTGATCTCTTTATCTTTATGGGCCACACTGGACAAGCCTGAGTCCCATGGCCCAAGGTCTCCCCTAGATGGCCTGGACCAGCTGGGAACCTCTCGCTCCCCAAGGGTGTCCTGAGACAAAGGCGGCTTTGGGCCTGAAGAATTTCCTGAATGAAAAGGGCTCTAAAACTGTCCTGTCCCTTCACACAGTGGCTTGTACTTTCCTTAGCGTGCACATGCGTGCCTGCTGGCACACATGTGTCATGTATGTGGGAGCAGGCATGCAGCAACAGGAAGCAAACCCACTGCCCGCTGGCCTTAGACAGCTGAGATCTGGGTTCAAATCCCAACCCTGTCACTTATTACCGCTGTCCCTGGAAGCAAGTCGGTCTCCCTGCCTGGGCCTCAGTTGGGGTAGGCAGGAAGGCCCTCCTAGGAACCCAAGCACGTGACAGATTTTGCTCATTTAACACTGCTTCACTAAGGTTTCATTCCCATTCACTGTGGGCCAGCCCCTGGGGCACCAGCAACCCTGGGTTCAAGATCACAGGGCCTTCATCTGAATCCCTGGAATGGGAACAGGGATGGAAGCAGGAAGACCCGCGTCCAATGGGGCCTCAGACAGGTGTGGGCTGGGTGACCCTGGACAAGTCACTTCAACGCTGGCTGCCTCAGTTTCCCCATCTGTACAACGGGGACCTCCCTCCCAAGGCTGCTGTGAGGAATCAAGCACGGGAGATTTGTAAAGTACGTGGGGCCCCCAAAGGGCCATAGCCGGGCCACCTGCGATCATTTCCTCAGCCCCTGACCCAGGGACAAAAGGAGGCTGGGCAGTCCAAAGAGGGAGAGGGCGGCGGGCAGAGCTGGCCGGTGCTGCTCAGGGCCATAAAAGGCAGTGACCAGCCCCCCTGGCCCCGCCTTCCCCGGAGCTGTCCAGCTGCTCCCCAGCCCCGGCCCCCCAACCCCCATCCTCAGCAAGCCAGCCCGTCCCTTGCCCCCCACCCCCAGATGCTGTCACTCTTCCTCTGGGGAGATGTGGGGTTGGGCGATATTTACGCTGAGAGCCAACATTTATGCAGCACTTACTGTATGCCAGGCACTGTGCTAAGATCTCATCGGGTCCTCCCAACCACCTGGGGAGGGAGAGTGGGAGGGGCTGCTGGCATCCCCATTTTACAGATAGGGAAACTGAGGCAGGCAGGGTCACACAGGCAGAACACGCTCAGGACTCCCTGACCCCAGCAGGACGCCAGGCCAGGGGGCTGCTCCCCCCTCCCCGTGTCACACACACACGTGCACGCGCAATCCCACACGGAGCCGCGCGCACGCCCGCACGGACGCTCCCACCTGCACTAACCAGAGCTGGGTGGTGCGTTTACGGGCGCCCCGGCGGGGGTGGGGGGGAGGGATGCTAAGGAGGGAGGAGAGGCTCCCCCACCAAAACGGGAGCCGGGCGCGCCTGCGCACTGACTCCCTCCGACCCTCCCTCCCCCCCCTTCCCCCCTACTCACCGGCGCGGCCCAAGAACAAGCTGCGGAATGAACAGCCGGGTCCTCCGGTCGGCTACGCCTGCGCACCTCCGGGTTCCCAGCATGCCCTGGGGCCCTGCCGCTGCCGCAGGAGGAGGGGCCGAGGCGGGGCGTGACGTCACTGGGCAGGCATCCTGGGGCCTGGAGACCTCTTTCCTTCCTTAGTCCTGGAGGGGGAGGCTGGGGGGGGGTTGTAACGTCATTCACCGCCGGGCCCTGGGTCCCGGGCGCTGTCCCCTCACCCCCTTTTCTGTTTCATGTTCTGGGCAGTCCCCCTTTAGAGTGTAAGCGCCTGGAGGGCATGGCCCAGTCCTTCTGCACACAGTAGGTGCCTAATGCGTGCTTACTGCTCCAGTGCGCCCCAAAGGACCCTGAGAAGTGGGGCTGTTACCCCATTCTTACAGAGAAGGAGACTGAGGCAGAGGCTAACAGCTGACGGGTTGAAGACACAGGATCAGTTCTTTCCTTCTGGGCCCTTTGGAAAACACTCCAACCACCCTTTTGGGGGAGCAGGGAGACTCCCCCCAAGGAGGGGAACCTCTCCCTAGTTAGAGGGGGTCTGGTGACTCAGGGGATGGAGTCGGGGACTGGAACCGGGAAGGTCTGACACACTTAGGATCTGGGTGACCCTGGGCAAGTCACTTCACCTATGTTTGCCTCAGTTTCCTCAGTTGTCATATAAAGATAATAAATGGCCCCCATGCCCCAGGCCCCAACTGTCAAATACAGATAATAATACTGTCAATAGTGGACTGTGGGGAAAACCAACCACACTGCATTTTGTTCCATGGTAACTCTTGAACTCATAACCCGATGCCTCTCGCAGGGGCCCTGAATGTCTCCTTCAGAACCTCCCCCAGCCCCATATTACAAAGGAAAACTCAGAGGACTTGGAAGGGCTCCAGGAGCTCAGCCCCTTCCCTTTATCCTCCCAGATCAGGGGAGGGGCAGCAGCTTCTCAAATGCCAAGTGACCAGCGGACTGATGTCCTTCCACCTCACTTGGGTCTCCAGGTTCCTTCAAATCTCAGCTAAAATCTCACCTTTAAAAAAAAAAGCTTTTCCTGTTCTTGTGAGATGTGAAATTGAAAACCGATACTCCACTTTATTTTGGATTGTTAATTAGAACTTTATCTAACCGCTAGAATCAACACTTAATGGACTAGGTTTAGATTTAATTGTGCAGGCCTTAGTAGTAGAGTCTGTAAGAGTTTAGCTTCCCTATTTCCCTGGGCTGGAGCCTAGACAATGTCTCACCCTGCAAGGAAAGAGGAGAAAAGGGATAATGGGCAGACCGAGTCCTGAGGTCTCTGCCCAGCCCTGGACCTCTCTAGTGCAGGTGGTGCCCCACTACAAAGACCACCCTCTGAGTTTTTGCTGACCATGAGAGGCTGGGAATCACCCTGGTCACAGGGTGCTTGCCCACCATGAGGTTTTCCAGAGGTTGCAAGACAACTCGATGGTTTTCCCATTGCCTTGGGTCTTGGAAATCTCCTCTCTGAGTTAAGCAAAATATAAGCCCACCCTTCACCTCTGCTGTAGACCAATCACAGTCTTAATTTAATTTGCACCACTGGACCTTACAGAACCAACAATCCAAAAAGCCATTCTTCCTGGCATTTCAAAAAGCTTTTTCCTTAAAAAATTAAAGCAGAGTCCCCTTAAGAATTATAGTTAAATGCTGCCAAAAATTGAAGTGGACTGGCACCAAATGGGACACAATGAAAATTTTACTCTTCTTTCTTAAGGTCCTAAGACTTGAGCTTAATAATTTGAATATAAAAATCAGTTACAAGTTTTGATAACTATAATGTAATTGAACTATCACGTTAGGCTATTGAGGGGCCTGGGACCCCATTCATAGGCAATTGCCAGCCTTGCTAATAAATTGATTGGAGTTGGAACTTTGTGCTTCTGTTTCTCTTTATTGCAGATTTTTATCTCAACAATTGGCAAACCCTGATGATACCTGAGTAAGGGCCTCCAGCCCCTGGGACTGCCTCGCAGAAGAACTCTTCTCAGAGGACTACCCTGGAAGCTGAACTCCCTCCTTGAGCCAAATTTTCTCTGAGCCAAGGTAAAGACCTGAGTGGGAGATCCTAATCCATAAATAGACCAACTAGGAAAGTTTCTAGGTCACATAGACTGTTATTGTACAATTGAAATGGGCAGCTAGATGGCGCAGTAGATAGAATGCTGACCTTGGAGTCAGGAGGACCTGAGTTCAAATGCAGCCTCAGACGCTTGACACTAACTAGCTGTGCCGCCCTGGGCAAGTCACATCACCCCGATTGCCTCAACAAAAAGCAAAACAAAAAAAAATCTAACCTCTTTCAGACAAGAGGGACCGGTTACTGGTAGGTTTTTCTCTCCAAAGAGGTTTCTACTTGGTGCCACTCTGCCAGGAAATAGGATACTCTTAAGACTCTATCTTATTACCCCAGAAATCCCCCAATATGAAGGGAGAGATAAAAATAAATAAATAAACAAACAAATAAATGAATGAATGAATAGATAGATAGATAGATAGATAGATAGATAGATAGATAGATAGATAAACAAATAGATAAATGAATGAATGAATAGATAAATGAGTGAAGGAAACCTAGGCAGAAACCTCAGGCAGCCTTGGCCATTGCCCGAATACCTCGGACTCCTTTTTTACCTTTGCCTCAGAACATGGGTATGATTTTATTGACACAAAAGAAGGCATTTTACTAGAGACTGCACAAAGAAAAAGAGGGACTTAAAGACCCTTAAGAATAAAAATGGGGTGCTGAGAGGATCTAAGTAGGAATTTACATCATGAGAGCATGGGGCTAAGTTCTGTCTTATCTGTGTTTTGTGCTAATGTATGTCACCAGGTGTTTCCAAGCCTTGGTTTTGTTCCACGTCCACATTCCATACAACCTAGCTTCTTTCTTTGTCCTAATCAACCAAGGAAAAAGTGAAACTTTCAAAATTCTTCAGAAAAATCAAGTCTCTCTTTTCTCTCTATATTTTCAATACTGGCCATGTCAGAAGTTGTAGAAATGAAAGACAGATTTAAAAAAACTAATTAAAGACTAGATTTGTGACTAGAAGAAAAAAATAAGTTTTCCCTATTGAAAATTTCTAAATTGTGATTTGAATATTTTATGAGTATTTTTATGAGTTTTGAGGGTACCAGTAAACTTTGTAAAATTTGACGAAATAAAAAATTGGCAGATCGATTGGGATACTTTAAAAACATATTTGCTACTAAAATTAAAGTAATATGTTGGAGAATTAAAAAGCCACATTAGATCTCTAACTGCTCAAGTCTTACGCAAGAGCAGTTAGTTCTACTTTTTGATCAGCAGAATACTTCCAAAGCAGTTTCAGTTTGTCAGTTTTTGAGTCTGAAGTTTTGGGGGCCACTCTGTGGAATGAGTTTTACAAATTCTTGAAAGATTCATTTAAAAATTGTACTAAAAGGGAATGACAGACTCATTGTAGGAAGGAAATGTGATTTTTTTTTCTGATTAAAGAGGCAGAACAGGAAAGCTTGTCAGACCATTTTACAGTTTTCTCTCTCCAAAGCAATAAAAGTGAGTAATGTTGGAACTTATTTACCCTTCTGTTTCTTACTACTTTTAAACAAGCAACTGGAAAACACCAAGCAAGCCCTTTTATCAGTCTCTGCCTTGGGACTCCCAGATTGAAGGTGAATCCCAAAGCACGCCTAGAGAGAGAAAAGCTTGTTTTAAAATCAGGAATCAACTGGAAAGTAAGTAAAATATAATGTTTTTCTATGAAGGCTATAGCATTAGGGTAAGAGAACAGAAGAAACAGACTTAGTCTTTGCGTTATTTGAAAGGAGATAGAGAAAAGGTTACACTTTGAGCCTTTCAGAAGATTATAGTTTCCATCAGATACTGTTTTTTCAGTGGTGCAATTCCTGCTAACTATTATATGAAGTAAAAATTGTGTTTTTAATAAAAGCAGATACTGTAAATCAAGAAATTATTATACTACAAATCAAAGAATCTTTCTAATGCAAATCATTGTTGACCATTTGACAATAAGGCAAATTTTATTGTAGATCATAAAGGATAATTATCTGACTATTGAAGAGTTAGTGGAAGTGATATAAAGTTATTAAGAAAGGCTATAGTCAAGCTACAAGAGTCTCTTTAAATGTCAAAGGATTTGTGTAAGTATACTATCAAAAGATAACTGTTGTTTCATATACACTTCATTGAACCAATGAGATGCTCACAATTACATCTCAACAGTTGTAATCTCACCATCACTTTTCAATCTGAGTTAATTTTTTTCAAAAATTAAATATTAAGCTAATTGACATCGGTGGGCCCTGAAATTTGAGAACCTGGCAGTTAATAGCTCTTGTGAAAATTGAGATTTTAAACTGTTAACATTAGTAATTATAGAGCTATATTTTATTTAGTTGAATCCAAAACTTAAATGTGTGGTAAGGATTGCTATTCATTTAAAATCATTAGAAAATTAGTTCCTCTTTGATGAGAGGACAATCTAAAACTCCTAATTGCTTATCAGGTACAATAATGTAATAACCTACAGTATTAGAAAATATCATAAACTTTGTAAAAGGAAGAGGAAATTAAGAGCTAAGATCGTTCACAGAGAAAAAGCGCCTACAAATTTCTTTACACATTGAAGTAGCGGCACCAGAATGAAAGCTGCTTTTATAATATAGACTCTACATTGAAAAACCATAGTTAGGCTCTAGCTGATTCCCCTGGTCATTGCCAAGTAAATTCCCTTGTGAAATAGGTGGCTAAATACTTCTTCAGCTTAGAAGATGTTACCTATGAGAAGAAGGTAGATGACCTCTTCTAAGTCGTCGATGAGGAAGTAGGAGGGCCCTTAAATTTTGCAGTTATGCTGAGTCAGTTATATTTGGGTTTATTACTTATAAAAACTATGTGATTGTAACCAATTCTGATTCCCCAAAAGTCCTCAAAGTAGTGGGATTGAACTATGCATTTATAATATAAGAGCCTCTTGATGAGGGTGAAAGAGGCAAGTGTAAAAGCTGGCTTGAGCTTAACATCAGAAAAACTAAGATTGCAGCAAC